CCTATTCTTTTGGTTAAGCATTTTCATATTCTTATCTCGTTTAATATTATTTTATTAAACTTCAAAACATGAGAGCATTTAAACATATAAGTCTTATAGACTATTTTATCTTAACCACAAACACAACATGAGGATAAAGAATAAACATTCTTAACTTAAATAAGACGTAGGAGTAGATGTTAAGAACCAAGAATAAACAACTCTATAAGGGAAATAATAAATAACTATATTAGAAGTGCCCAACAACGAATAACTCAAGTCATGTAGAATAGAAGCTTGGTGAAAATTTTCAACACTTGAGATGTCATTGTAGAAATAGATAGGTCAAGTTTCTCAACCAAGAGGTGGGGATGAATTGATTTCCCTTGTAAAAATAATTTCTTTTAAAATCTTTTGATCTTTTTGGAATGCAATCAATAAAGAATGAATAGCAATGCAAAAGTATAAGGAAAGAATCACATAGTGATATATACTGGTTCGGCCAATGTGTCTACATCCAGTCTTCTTTCAATCAACCTTAGATTGAAAGAATTCCACTATAATGATTGAGTTCTGACAAGCAAGATATAGAGACAACCTTCTCAATGTACTCTCCTCATAACTCCAAATCACTTATAAAAAATACACCTAGAAAGAACAATCTCTTTCTGTCAACCCTTAGAGATACCCTACTCTAAGTCACAAGAACTCCTCTAAGTCCTTCTTCTTAACCAACAACATCAGGGAACCACAATCACTCTTGATTGCAAATGAATTTGATCTCCAGAAAATACACCTTACTTGTGCAGATACGATCAGTCTATGACAGCACTTGAATTCTTCAAGAATCTTTAAGAATTCCTTCCAAATTTGATAATCTTGATTCTTGGAGAGTATTTGACGCTCCTGCAATAAAAGCTCAACAAACAAGTCAGATATGAAAGTTATGAAGCATTAAAGTTGTTGAATTCAAAGAGCAATGCATCTATTTATAGTTATATGAGTGCAGATGCATTTTAATCGATTAGCTAAATAATCTAATCGATTAAGCAATTCCTTATGCTATACCAGAATTACATTTTTCATATTTTAACATATTAAGTAGAGCACATAATCGATTAAACAATTAATACAAGTCTAGCATTTAAAAATATGACTGTTATGACAATTATGACTTATCAAGAAATAAGTTTTCAAACAACACACATTTTAACCAATTAGAGAAATAACATAATCGGTTAAGTATAATAGTTAAGCAAATTTTGAAAACTTTTTCATTCAAATCACATCAATGCAGTCAGTAAACATATGGAGGCATAACCACGAGTTTTAATCCATTATACCCATAATCTAATCAATTAAAACTTGATGTTTTGTCATTGTTAAGCACATACTGATATCTGATGAATCTAACAGATTATATAATTAGTGTAATCGATTAATTCATACATATATGTAATGTGCAAAGTGTTTCAATCAAAAATTCATTTTCACACAATGAATATACATCATAGATAGTTCAAACACATACGCAAATATAATCAAGCAACAGTTTGCTAATAAGATGTGTAAGAAACTATAAAACATTTTTGTTGTCATCAACAAAAACACAATATGATATGAGTTCAACTACATGGCTCCTCTTATCAATAATATAATGTATTGTCTACAATTTGAACTAGAACGACTCTCTTTTGAAAACTATGTGTACTAATCATTAACATTCAAAAGCGCTATTTGGTAATGTCAATAATACACAAACATTACAATGATAAAAAAATGTTATTTAATCACCTCATCATATTATAGAGTAGAGAGTGTTAATTGAAAGTCATAAACCTATAAAAAGGTTTTGAAAAGGTATGTGAAAACATCAAATAACTCCTTACTATCGTTTAATAAATCTACTGTAAAAAGGTTTTCTAAAAGGTTTTATTAAACTATATTCAAATTTCTCATTCTAAAGCTAGTATGTTCTTTCATATATAGGATAAGTATATAAACTCTTTCCTTAGAAGTAGCATTTTAACCAATAATGGAAACTAACATTTTGTACAAACATAAGTCACCAAATTAAACACATCCTTCAAAGTTTATTTCTTAAACATGACAAGAAACTACCTAACCAACACCCTCAAAAACTAAATTATTTTAAAATAGATAATTTGTGAGTAGGATGATAGAAGAACAATGATAATGAAGGATTATACAAATTTGTATTTTGACGATAATAATAAAATATAAATAAAACCTAGTAACTTGGATTTTTTTAGTATTCTATTCATTTTCATACATGAGTATTTGTGAATCATACATTAGATTAGGCATAGCCAACATCATACTTGATCATCATTCCAAAACTTTCAAAGTGCTTTTGAAATTCCCTTTTAAGATGAACAAGAATATACAATTGATTATCTTATGAGTTAGAAAATTTTTATAAATTGATATAATATTACAAATAATAAATTATCTTAAGTCATAATATTGAATAAAATCATAAACTATTTTAAAATGCTGATAAAAATATTTTAAAATATAATCAATTATAGAAACTCAATACTATTTGTATAGAAAATCAATTATTATATTGTTCTTGATTATTATAATTTAGAGCAAAATAATTTATTATCACTTAGAATAATGAATAAGTTCTATCTCATCTGGTGGATATACATATTTTCTCTAAACTTAAATAAAGACTTTTGCATAATATGTTCTTACTAAATCCTTTTCTTGTATTGTATCTCTTATAACAGTTAGGTTTAGTGTTATGGAATAATACCCTCTTAGAAGGAAGAGTTGGATATGCAGAGAGGATTCATCATTCAAAAGATATTATGGAATAATGCCATCTTAAAAGGAAGAGTTGGATGTGCAAAGAGGATTCATCATTCAAAAGATATTATGGAATACTACCTCTTAGAAGGAAAAGTTGGATGTGCGGAGAGGATTCATTATTCAAAAGATATTACGGAATAATACCTCTTAGAAGGAAGAGTTGACACTACGATTTGTCCATGCTTAGAAGAGTGTTCTTTCTACACCTCTCTACATTTCTTCCTGCATCCCCACATTCCAAAAATAACATTTTTCAACGAATTTCGAAATTTGTTGAAGAAAAATCTTTTGATGAATTTTTAAAAGTTTTGACGGATTTTAAAATTAGTTAGAGACATGAAAAATCCTTTAACGGATTTCAAAAGTCATTCAAAGATTTTTTTTCAACTGATTTCAAAATCCGTTAAAGAAAAGAAATGGGGTGTAAGATTTTTTGAAACAAAAATAATTTTAGAATCTTTAAAAATTGTGAAAGTACAAGAAGAAATGTGAGGTGATGTAAGAAGAAACACTCTACTTAGAATGATTGGACGAGGATCCACTTTTCTACATACAAGCTGTTATGGTATAGTAGGTTTCTACAGTTAAGTGTTTTATAACCTCTCAATAAGATTCTTATTTGAGTGTATTCCATATTGGATGTTAATATTAGGCTTAATACCTCTTTTTGTCCCTCTTTATAAGAGAAATGTTCAAGTTCGTCCTACCTTTTTTAAAAAGTTCAATGTGGTCCCAAGTTGTGAAAAAAGTGTCCAATTAAATCCTTTTTGGTCACGGCGTTAAATATTTAACGATCCAGCTGACAGCGTGGAGTGATTTGTGCAACGTGGTTGTTTACCTTCATAACGTGGCAGTTGACGTGGCAGTGGCAGTGATTAAAAAATTTCTGAGTTAGGGTTTGGGTATTCGAAATCGCGATTTGGGGATAAGCATTTTGGAACTGGAAATACAAATTGGGTGATGAAATCTGCAGAGTAAATTGTGCGTTTACCCTTTTTGAGAGAGAAAAAGGAAGCCCCACACTACTCTATTCTACATTTAATTGTCAAGTTCTTGTAATTCTTACACCTAACAACAATATACCTGTTTTCAGTGTTTAGAAAGGAAAAACAGAGCCAGCAAAAAATGGTCGTGGGAGGATTCTCCATTGATGCTTCTTCAACCAGGGGCTTCGATGACAAAATCACACTCTTCGTTCTCATCACTTGCTCTTCAAACAGTTCCAGTTTTCCTTGCCACCCACTCTTTCTCACACCCTCCAAGTACCAAACCCCTCTATCCCTAATTTTATCCTCGCTAGCCACACACACAATAATCTTGGAACACCCAAGTCCATCCAAGCTTGGTGCCTTAGGAGCGAAGGGGTTGACCATGGGGTTATCAATGCCACCCGACGCAGAAGGGTACACAAAGTCCCAAACTAAACAGAACAAACGTTGTTTGTGCCCGGTAACAACTTCAGATCCAATTGGCTCCGAACTGCAGAAGTAAGGATGGGAGAAAATAGCTCCTAATATTTTAACATCACAAGGTAAGGGTTCAGTCCCAACACGCATGGCAATGTTGTGAACTATGTTCCCACCTGCACTGTCCCCCCAATGAAAACTCTTTAGAAATTACCGTGGGAAATCAGCCAAGGATCTTCNATTAATGTTAGGCTTAATACCTCTTTTTGTCCCTCTTTATAAGGGAAATGTTCAAGTTCGTCCTACCTTTTTTAAAAAGTTCAATGTGGTCCCAAGTTGTGAAAAAAGTGTCCAATTAAATCCTTTTTGGTCACGGCGTTAAATATTTAACGATCCAGCTGACAGCGTGGAGTGATTTGTGCAACGTGGTTGTTTACCTTCATAACGTGGCAGTTGACGTGGCAGTGGCAGTGATTAAAAAATTTCTGAGTTAGGGTTTGGGTATTCGAAATCGCGATTTAGGGATAAGCATTTTGGAAGAACTGGAAATACAAATTGGGTGATGAAATCTGCAGAGCAAATTGTGCGTTTACCCTTTTTGAGAGAGAAAAAGGAAGCCCCACACTACTCTATTCTACATTTAATTGTCAAGTTCTTGTAATTCTTACACCTAACAACAATATACCTGTTTTCAGTGTTTAGAAAGGAAAAACAGAGCCAGCAAAAAATGGTCGTGGGAGGATTCTCCATTGATGCTTCTTCAACCAGGGGCTTCTATGTCAAAATTACACTCTTCGTTTTCATCACTTGCTCTTCAAACAGTTCCAGTTTTCCTTGCCACCCACTCTTTCTCACACCCTCCAAGTACCAAACCCCTCTATCCCTAATTTTATCCTCGCTAGCCACACACACAATAATCTTGGAACACCCAAGTCCATCCAAGCTTGGTGCCTTAGGAGCGAAGGGGTTGACCATGGGGTTATCAATGCCACCCGACGCAGAAGGGTACACAAAGTCCCAAACTAAACAGAACAAACGTTGTTTGTGCCCGGTAACAACTTCAGATCCAATTGGCTCCGAACTGCAGAAGTAAGGATGGGAGAAAATAGCTCCTAATATTTTAACATCACAAGGTAAGGGTTCAGTCCCAACACGCATGGCAATGTTGTGAACTATGTTCCCACCTGCACTGTCCCCCCAATGAAAACTCTTTAGAAATTACCGTGGGAAATCAGCCAAGGATCTTCGAATACCCAAACCCTAACTCATAATTTTTTAATCACTGCCACTGCCACGTCAACTGCCACGTTATGAAGGTAAACAGCCACGTTGCACAGATCACTCCAAGTTGTCAGCTGGATCGTTAAATATTTAACGCCGTGACCAAAAAGGATTTAATTGGATACTTTTTTCACAACTTGGGACCACGTTGAACTTTTTAAAAAGGGTAAAACGAACTTGAACATTTCCCTTATAAAGAGAGACAAAAAGAGGTATTAAGCCTTAATAGTATATGTAATTCAAACTCAGATTTTTCAAAATAAACGGAACAATGGAATTAAAATGAGATGAGGATTAAAATAAAAATAAACGTGAATACAAAAATACTTTGTTCTCTTTCTCTAATCATTCCTCGTTGCTCAATACCATTTCTCAATACCATTCACATTTGTTTCAAAAACTGATATTTGAGTGATTCAAAGAAAAGGCTAGGTTCGAAAATTTCAATTTTGTAAATACCATTTCAATCCCCTTATGAAGTATATTGTCTTCTATTTATTATTCGAACAACTTAAGAATCGCATTACCCTACCGGGACATATAAAAAGCTTAGGATTTTGGCCTCTTGTACACTTTGTCTGACTCATTTTTGGGTCTTCCTTGTACCATTGTTGTCGTATTACTGGAAATATGGCTTGCGGAAGCCACACTGCAGAATTTGTACACAACAATACTGTTGTGGTTGCATCTCAAATCTCGACTAACAGTTTAAGACAACCAGATCTAAGATGCAACTACATTCACAATTTAATGCCCAGGGATCAGTGAAAGAATACTCAGTACTCAACATTACTGACAAAACTTGTAGACATTTAAAAAATTTATGGCTGATTACATACTAAATGATTCATTCAAAACACATATTGCAGTGGGTATGACCAAAATATTTTTTTTTTTTTCGTGGAGCAAAACCAATAGGTACTTACTCAGACACAAATAATGAAATCCACAAGATAAAAAAAGGACAAAGGAAGGTAGATAAAGGTAATCCTCATATTCTCTATATCGCCCCTACAAAGAAATTAGAATTGCTGGTTGCAGCTATTTGGCTTTTCGAGATGCAACTAACAAAATTTCACCAATGAAAATTAAGCTGTTTTTGGCTTTGACTTAATTCGCTTCACCCTTGAATAGAGGAACACGCCAGCAAGAGCTATAGCAGTACCTGTAGCAAAAAAAATCTTAGCAACGGGAGTGAATAGAGATATTCAATAATTAAGAAATTTTCAGGACAAATGTCTGTTTTCCAGGTTAAACAAGAAAGAAGCAACTTTACCAAAAGCATTCACAGGTGAGACAGGTGTTTGGAAGAAAATGACAGAGCTAACAATGACCACAACCCGCTTCACACAATTGCCCACAGAGTGGGTAACAGGTGATACCCTTTGTAATATCATATAAGACACCTGCAAGCCCATTCACAGAAAGCCTTCAGTATATCGTTCCAAGATACAACACCATTTAACCATTACAGAGCCATGTAAGCAGCTATAGTACAAGGCCTTATCTACGGCATAGAAAGCAAGAAGCAACGAGTAGAATCCTAATTTATATCTTGGATTTTTATTTATAGCAAGAAAAAATATTTATTTATTAAGCACCCCCTTTCTTCAGATTAAACAAGTCATCTTTCTAATTCAATTGAAATAGTTAAAAGCCCGATAAGTAAATACCCTTTTTTCACTGACATAACAAAATACAAGCACATAATATATCGCAAAGCATAATAGTCGCACTGTCGCTTAACTTCTCTAAAATATTCTTGGTCGTCTAAGTACATCGTGAAAGACATACCAGGGATTTTACTCTATTATTACTATGTTAAGCATTTCACATCATACAATTTACTGTTTCCCAATAAGGAATGGTTAATTATATTTAATCTTGCAGTCAAAAGATTAAAAATGCCTGGCAACCACGTAAAAACACCATTGAACAGAAGTTGATGTTGGAGGGTTCAATCACCACTAGACCATCTAATCCCCTCCCTCCCTTGCTAGGTGCAAGCAAGTTGCAAACTTGCAACATCAAAGCATCCCCAAAAAGTAAAAGCATAATGCATAGAAAAAAGCAAGGCTCACTTGTTGATACGCATGGAAACAGAGTGCGGCAAGAAGAGATCTGACGTAAAGTTGTTTAACATTTACCCCCTGTCAAGAAAGATGCATTAATACTAGCAAACTCAACGCAGTTATATATTTTGATTGCAGAAATGGTAACGACAATAGTATTTATTTTAACCATCAAGTTACTCACAGCAGATTGCAAGTAAGCAGGGGTAAATTTGACACCCTCCATGAAGACAGCCACTGGTGCTAATAAGAAGAAGGACATTACTGTTATTATAGAAAATAGAGTGATATTGTCCATAGAATCCTGAGAAGAAAATATTATTGTTATTTCCTGTTATGAAATGCAAAGATGGATATAAAAAATAAAATATGTCAACATTTGGAAGTGGTCACAAATCATTATACCTCATTCTTAACCATAGCCTTTTTGCTAAGAACATTACGGGATTGATTTGTCACATTTGAGGCCATTGCACTCCAAAATCCGGCCCTGTAAACCATTCCACCAAAGCATTTACAATTTGCAAAACCAAAACTTCTCTTTTCAAATCCCATCAACTAACCTAACTTCTTTCTCTAGAAGGAACAAGGCAAGGAGCAGACATCTTACCAATTGAAAGAGGCCTCAGTAACAGACGCCAGTGCAACTCCACCAACAATAGGCACAAGGGAACCAACCACCCACGGTGTAGGAAACTGTAAGAGAAAGAAACAAAGAATAAGATCGAAGAAAATTAATTCTCAATGTACCAAATATTTCTATTTTTCCTTTAAAGGAAAGGCCTAGAATACACATAACAATTCATAAAAAACTGAGTAGGAGTGTTAGCAACATACTCTCTCTCTACCGCTCAATATCATGTTATTAAAATTTATTCAAAACTACAAAAATCATCATAGATACTAACAAAAATTTGTCATTTTTCATAAATTCCAATTAACAGTAAAGAATGTGTCAGAAAGTGTGACGCTCACAAGCATTTCTCATTTCTCATGAAAAATATACCAACGTGATAACTATCGTCAATTTCATGAACAAAAAAGACAATTCAAACCACAGCACAAGCAGCTAACAATCATAGTAAACAATCATTTTCGATTAATCCCATTCAGCAAGACAGTTTAAACTACATATCTAACCTCTCCAAGGAACATGGCAGAAAGGACCACTGAAAAGAAAGGCTCCATGGCCTTGATAGTGTGAGTGAAAGACACGGCCACCTTCCCAAGACTCATATTAGTGAAAAGATTCCCCAACGTATGCACCGCAGCCAGTGGCAAAATCGCTCCAAGCTGGCCATAAAAAATCGACCTTAGCCACACAAAACACAATAAAATAAACACACAAATTCAACACGGGAGAGACCAAAATACCATAGCACCACTGATCTTCGGCCTCTTGTAGAGATTCAAACCCCACATAATCGCCACGAGCACAGTCCCAACCGCAAATTGAACAACAGTCACAGTTACCGGATAATGAAACGCCTTCAACACCTACAAACAACAGAAGCCAAAACAAAACCAAAACATACACACACATCAAGTCAAAATTAAATTCAAATCCTCAACAAAAAACCGTTTACAATTCCTGAACATTACCACAGAATCCGAAACCATAATCCAAATATCCACTTACAGGATTCTATCATTATCGACGAATCAAAACTCAGAAGCATACAGTTCCACAAGTGTTCATAATCAATCAGAATTGAAGTTTAACCAAGTTATTATTAAATATAAATGCTGATTAACGAAGTGAAACTCTAATTCACACAAAAAATACACACGGAAATGCCTTAAGTTTTGAGCTACAAATGACGACAAATCTAAGAGCGTGTCTGGAAAACTATTACGTTTCAGCAAAATGTTTTTTTCAATTGTTTCATACAAGAAGAGATCTGGTGAAGGACCTGTTTGTTGTAGATATTGAAGTAGATGTTGAAGAGGTACCAGAGGCCAAACAAGGAGCCGAGCTCGAGTGTTTTGAAGAGCGAATTTTCGGCAGGCGCGCTGTCGGGAACGGCGTTCTCCGCGGCGCGCGGAGGAGAGGGAGGGAGCGGGCGGAACTTGAAGGAAGAGGAAGGAGAGACAGTCCAAGATCGGCGGATGAAGGAAGTGGAAGAGGCGCCATTGGAGTTGACGCCTTCTGCGTGTTTGGCGAAAAGTCTGAGAGGGAGGGAAGGTCTAGAAGCGTTTAGAGAATAGTTGCGGAGAGGAAGAGAGAGCGACGGAGAGAGAGTGAAAGCCGCGCTCTGCATTTTCGAGATCTGAGAGAGACACAGAGAAAGAAAGAGAAGGCAGGAATGAATGTGAAGAAAGAAACGGAACACAAGAGCGTAAGCTTCTCTTGTGTTGCGGTTGGTGGCTGTGATGTGTTGTCGGAAGGGTTGGGTTGAATTGTTATGTTAAGTTTAGCTTTTAAGGGAGTAAGAGACGGAGATTTCCTAGGAGTATCCGCCACCAAGGTTTTGTTTGGTATGTGTATGTGAGAGCGAGTGATGAATGAATGGAAGTAGGTGGTGTTTTTTAAAAGAGAAGATACTTTTGCTTGTCATGAATCCGTGTATCTGAAAATCAAATTAATAATTAGTGGACAAAAAAGCGGAAAAGGAAAAATAAATAATCTTGATACTAAAATGTCGAATATGCTTATGAGTGATTCCTATTTTTTATTAATGTGTTTTATTCCTTTTAACTTATATTTTAGGATTAAGTCTAACAAAAGTTTTTCATCCACCTGTAAGATTATATTCGGTAGAAATTGAATCAAAACGTGTGTAATTATTTTTTTTTATTTATATTTTTTTATTAGGAATAAGAAATAAAGGGAGTCTAATGGACCAGTGAGTCAGCTACGAATTTGACGTGATGACGTATTGTATTCGGTGTACCATTTCATTTTGGTATGTCTTCTAAAAAATTATTTATTAAAACAGAAATAACAAAAGACAGTGATGTATGAAGATAAAAAAAAATAACGAGATTGAAATTTAAATTGTGCAATTTATCAGTTAATTTTCATTTATAAAACTTTATTTAAGTAATTTAATCTTTAAATATGTTTGCTTCTAATAAAGAGAACATATTTTTTATAGAAAATTATTTATTTAAAAAAAAATTCAAATTTGACGGATCGACACTTTGTTTGACGGAAGTATCTGAACCTAGTGGCAATAAAATAATTTTTATTGATTGAGTAAATAAGCTTTATACTCTCCTTCAGTGATATGCAAAAGTAATAATTATTTTAAAACTAAAAACAAAAGCAGATATTATTTATTTATAAATTTTCTTATGTGTTTTAATTCTGAAAACAAAGAAGTTGTAAAGAACACGTATTTCGTAATCAATGGCGTTCAAAGTTAAAACCATCGTATTCTGTTAAATTAATTCTTATCATATAAATTAAGTGAAAATGTTAGAACCCTAATAAATCGTATTGCACAATTCCTTTTATTGTGTTTGTCGAAAAACAACTCATGTGAACCTCTAGAATATAAATCAAATGATATATCTCCTTTGTTTTTAACAGGGTTATGTACATATGGTTAGGTTTATCTTGTCGTATTTTCATTCATTAAGTGCTTGTTGCATAAATTTTAACAATAAACTTTATGTGATAAATAAACAATAATTTATTGTTTAGTTAAAATAAACAATATTATTACAGATAGCAAAAAACAGTTGAAGATTGTATTAAAAACATGCTTAAAAAACATGAGTAATTATAATTTTCTATAATTTAGTTAAAGTTATTATTTATAAAAAAAATATGTAATTTTATAAAACAGAAAAGGTATAATTTAAACATAACTTATTTAAGTGATATAGTATTGTTATCTTAATATGTGCATGAAGCATAAAAGATTAAAATTTTCTTGTTCTTGTCTTGTTATTGTCTTCTCTGTCAAAGAAAGTCATGTTTTTATCTCATCATCGTATTCTGAAAACGAAACAGATCTTGATATTATTTATATAAAAGATTACATGTGACAGTGGTAACTGGGTAAGAAACAAGAAAAGTGGTAGGTGAGAGTAGTTGAACCTATAAAAGTCACTCACTATCAATGCCTGCCACTTTAATATACCTAATAATTTTTGCAATAAGAACGAATTCTATTTGAAGATTTTCTGCAAAATTCCGCTTTGCACAGCAAGAGGTGGATCTTGGGAAGTTTACTTCCACCTCTATTGTTGAATCTTTTTTTTTTTTTACATTTTTTTCTTCTGAAAATAAAAATATAATTAATATTATTAGTGATTAAAGAGGCATAGTTGTTTTGTATTTTTTATTTATGTAAGTGAAAATAGTATGTGTAACAACCCAATTTTCTAAACTACTAATTATTACTTTAACTAGTATCATAAAATATCTTGAGCCCAAGCAATTATAGATGACAATTAACATTAAAATCTTTAAACTAGATAATATTGAATTCAAAATCTAAACTAGAGATTTAATATAGTTTTTCAAAAGGAATCATTTATTTATCAAAGATATAACTATCTTAATCCTTTTCTTTTCAGTTTCATGCTAATATCACCTTCAACCTTTATCTCTTCTTTAAATATATTATCATTACAAAAGAAAAGAAAATAGAAATACAGAAGAAAAATATAAAGATAAACTGATTTTTATAAGAATGAACTCAAAATGAAAAATATCTATCTTATCACAAAGGTTATCAAAACAGTGAAGTTGCGACAAAACACTAAAAAGAAATTGAATATTATTTTCTAGATCTTTTTTCGAGGATGAAAAACTAAGTATAATGTACGTAGCACTTGTGAGTTAGTCATGTTTCGTCTATAAACATTATTCCATAAAGATTGTTTATAGAATTAACTCAACTTTCTCTAAGGATACTTAGGCAGTAACTCATTGAAAATGTAAACGCTAGTCGAAAGCTTAAAGCTAACTTAAGCACCTAGAAAGATTGCTTTCAACAAGAGCTAATAGTTTACAAAAAACACTTCAATACATAAACAATTTTATATTGGTTCACCTGTTAGAACTACATTCAGTTCTCCTCTAAGTTAGAGGGTCTGATTAAATATTCAATGAAGTACAACACAGGCACAACCATGCAACCTTTTCACGAGTCATGCAATTACGTCCTTCAACCATTCAATTCATTCCCAAACTACTCATCACAAACCATATACATATTCATTCACTTTCGTATTGCATAACATCATATGAAATGAATATTTATACTTCAAAGGACAAAAAAAACCCAACATGTCACTGGAAAACATATAAAACATAAGTATATGAACATACAAGGTGGCACTCAAGCGCCTAGAGCTAGGGCTTAGCGCCCCAAAAACAGGGGGATAGTGCCCAGGCGCTAAAGATTTGGCACTCAACACCCGAAAACAGAAAGGTAACACCCAGGCGTTGGAGGGCTAGGGCTCAACACCATAACAGATGCAAAACCACTCAAAAGTAGACTTTGGACACTTTACCCCAACTTCTAAAGATCCTTAGGACCCTCTAGACCCTAAGAAAACTTTGAAAATACTATTGCAATTCAATTAGACCCCTTGAAACTAAAATTCACTCCTCTAAGCTACCCAAACTCAATTCTACCGTTGATAACACCTATATCAGTTTACCAACTGCATAATTAACTCCAAATACACTTGTTAGTGCACTACCATACCTCACTTTCCTTCCAGCTATCCTATTTTTAGTTTCCCACACCTAAAACCTCTAAATTGTACTAAGAACTCCACCTATGAAGCAATAATCACTTCCATCACAAAATTTTCTGATATAAACCTCTAGACAAGTCTTAGTTGACCTCATAAAAGACTCTAAACTCTCTAAAACATTTTATATCCCTTAACTCTAAATCTCACTACTAAAAATCCCATTTTATACTAAAAACACCCTAACACTTTAACAAATCACTAACCTTTTATTCCATTACATATTTCAATCCACCATCACCTCTAAAAAGTTTTAAATTATTTAATAACAGCCCCAAGACAGTAGTATTCTCACATTAGCCCCTATTTCTCAAATACACCCATCAAAACCCTTCTTTTTAGGCTTAAACTCTGAGAATTTGACCACTAATCACCCCTAACACTTTGGATTCAATTTTCAAAAACCAAAACAACTTCATCACACATAATCATGACATCATATAACATCAATTTCACGTTATTCTAATTACACACACATCATACTACCATATATCATTATTTAAACATAATGAATACTACACTACAATCATAATTCCATTCAATTCATCAAATTATTTTCATAGATACTATCTTAGCACGACAAACATAATTTAAGCGAGTTTTAACTTTCCTTACCTTAGAAAACTCTTACAACTCTAAGAACTCCCAATTATTGCTTCCACCGCAAGAAACTCTAAAAAAGTCTACAAATCACCAATTGGTGATTGATTGAAGACAAACCTTAGAACCTCAACTGAACCTAGAATCAAAGAGGGCGAGTTTTTGACACATGCAAAAATAGATTTCTTTGCATGATCATAAACCGAAAATACAAGGAAAAATGATAAAAACTTACTTGTTCTAGACAGGGAATTGATCGGGTAGAAGTGGAGACGACTCACTTGTAATTTTCTAGGAACTTCCTGCTCATCAAACAAATGATAAAGGGATGAGAAATCTTAGAGAGATGTTAGAGAAAGCAAAAAGAAAGAGTTTTAGAGAGATATATAGTGTTTTAAGTAATGAGACGAATTTAAAAAATTTTATTTATGTTATTTAATTATTTTAAAATAAAATTATCGGTCTCATTATTTTAAAACACTTACCAATTCTAATACTTTATTTTCTAGATTATTAATATATGAATTCCATTTTCATTTTATGTGAACGTAGGTCCTTATATAATTATAAAACTTTAAAAATATAAAATTATAAAATTGTAAAATTATGAGAGTGTAAAAATGAATTTTTATTTTTATAATCTTATAATTTTATAATTTTACAATTTTACAATTTAGATAATTTTAAATTTTTAATGTTTTATAATTTTAGAATTTTAATTAATTTTATAAATAATTTCTATAAATGCAATAAACTTTATAAAAGGATCTCGTCACTATAGTCTTTTACAATAAAATATTATTTACGGATATTTAACTAAAGTGATAGACATTATATAACTAACAGAAAAATGTAACACAAAGACTCAAATGAAAATTGAAAAGCTTAATAAACTTAATAAAATATAAAAATTTATTATAATCTCAGTTAAAAATTACCAAATTTATGATGGTCTTGGTACTTAATTAAGGATAGATTAAATTTATGAAAATTTACTATATTTACAAAGAAGTAGAACCTCCGTGTGCTGCTCCTATACAAAATCTAAAATCCCCAAATATACGCTATGGCTAATTTGGCATTTCTTCTCAGATATTTAGGAGTATTTATTTATAGCACTCAGACAAGAATCTATGATCAGCCGCAAAAAATGGTGTCAGAACCAAATCCAGGAAAAAAAAAAACCGCGGAAATCCTGGTAGCACACAACAATAAAAGTGTCAAAGGTAATAATCAATCTGACTCCGTTCTACTTTCACAATCTGATTCGATTGAGACGCTGTAGATTTTATCAGAAGAAAGGAAAATTTGAAAGAGAATGATGAATTCGTTGTTGAGCGCCAAGGCATGCGTGGGTGTGCGGTCACCGATTATAGCGAACTCCGAGGAAAGGAGTACGAGGAAGATGATACAAAACGTGAATTGTAGGAACAGTAGGAATTGGAGGAATGTGGCTGTGTCGTGCGGTTCGGAGAAGAACGGTAACGATGGAATTGACGCGAGTGAAGGGTTGAATTCGGGGTCGTTTTTGTCCCCGAGTCACAATTACGCGATCTTGAAGCACCGGATGGAGATAGCGGCAAAGTCCGAGGTTAGTCTTTTTGTTTTTTTTTTTTTTTATTTTCTGTTGGAAAAGAAAGTGGATTTTTCGTGTTTTACCATTGATGTGGTTCCTCGGTGTTGGAAAGAGGCTTCTTATTGAATTTAAAACGATGGTAGTATTATGAAGAGGCTGCAAGGCTTCGTGACTCGCTCAAATGCTTCGAGGACGACGTTCCTGTTCTTCGTCTGCGGAGGCTGTTGAAAGAAGCTGTTGCTGATGAGAGATTTCAGGTCAATTATCGTTTTTAAACTAACATTTTTGCATGTTGATTACATGTTTTTAAGACCGTTTTTGTTTATGTCATGTTCCATTTTTCAAGTTGTCGCGCAAATGAAGGTATGAGTTTGACTTCTCATTTTTCTTCTCTATTTCTGCACATGCAGGATGCAGCTATATATCGTGATCAGCTCAAAGAAATTGCTCCACATTCTCTCTTAAAATGTTCAAGTGATTCTACAACCTTGGTATGAATGCTGCTTACTTTTACAAACTATTACTTTGTTGTGACCTATAGATAGTTCTTTCTTGGTGTAATCTCTTGAGGCATTGCTTTTAATTTAACTGCATCAGTGGAGTGATTAGTTCAATGCCAAGTAGCTCTCTTGGAAATCAATGGAATAGAGAGTTTTCAAGTGGGTTTGGAACTTTTCTATAAGATTCAGTTCCTTGAAATAATCTCTAATCCTATCACGGAAGAGCCGAAAATATATATTTTTCTGTAAAATCCTAAAGGAAGGAAATGATGAATTCATTTTTCATTTGGGTATCACAATTGCAGAGTAAAAGATGAACTTTCACAGCTTGTTTTGAACTTGTTCAGGGAATTCGGGTACAAGTTAAGAGTGTATATTTAGAGGGCAGAAGTCAACCAACAGAAGAGGTATATTTCTTTGAATATAAAATAAGAATTACCAATAACACAAACCGCCCTGTTCAACTTCTGAGAAGGCATTGGATTATAACTGATGCTAATGGAAAAACTGAAAATTTCTGGTGAGTTAATTATTCTTGTGTTCCTATGTTTTTTAATGGTCTTTTTCATTTTCTTTATACTCATGTGAATTCAAGTTTAATGTATTTTTTGCTCTTCACTTTCCACGTACAGGGGAATTGGGGTTGGTGGTGAACAGCCAGCTATATTTCCTAGAACTAGTTTTGAATTCTCTTCTACATGCCCTTTAAACGCACAAAATGGTAGAATGGTATGAAATTTTCTTTTGTTTCTTATTTTTGTTCTATGAAATAGTCTCACCCAGTGAGAAAAATACTTTCTTTTTCTAAATTTAAGAAAGTTAGATTATTAAAGGTCCTTTGGGTTTCTTAATTGAAGGCAGTATTGTTCATTGTGTTTGGTAATGTCACGAGTATCAAATAAATGGATTAGATGTTCAGATGACATTGTTAAATGCTGAATCCTATATACCAGAAACTACTAAATGATCTGTTTACAAAAGTATATTATAATAACATCTCTTTATATTTTTTTGAATTACATTTATATTCTATATTTTTATTACTATCATAATGGTCTCCTTATTTAAGTACAATGTTTTTAAAATAAAGGAGAAATTATGTAGAATTTAAAAGAAATCAGCGTGTTTTGAGGGTAAAATTGCATATTATCTTTATAGAAAAACATTTATGGTCTCTACACCCTTTGGGTAAAAGGTGGTTAATATTATGTTAATTCCATAACAATTGAATTTGGTCTTAAATGAACGTGGGATTTAGTTCTTTTTTCTGTAAGAATTCTATATATTTTAGGCCAAATTTATGAATAAAAAAGTGTAAGAATGTTGACTTACGTTTGATCAAAAGTGCAATAGTTAAAAACATATTTTCTATTATGTATTATGTCTTTCATCATTTGACACTTGTCATTGTTCTGAATACATTAGTTGCCAGATTGATTTCAACTTGCAAGTATTTGTTATTCTTATGTCCCGATTGAGCAGAAAACCAGATATTTAAATCTGTTCTCCTATAATGCAGGAGGGTGATTTTGAGCTGATACATGTTGATCGAGTAGGTCCAAGAGCATTTAACGTGGCTGTTGCCCCATTTTCTCTCTCTCTACTTGGAGATGATGATGAGGATGGTGAAACTATCTGAGGTAGAATTGCAGCATCACCTTCTCATGTTGCACCAAATAAGCATTCAGAACATGTTTTCACAGCCATGTTAAGAAATTAAAGCTCACTATTTGCATTTGCGGTTTGCAGAATCAGACATTGTCACTGTTTTGCTGTACAAATTTGTATTTTATTTTATTTTATTTATTTGTGACAGAATCGTATAAATGTGTTTCGTTCGTACAGAACTCGATTATTACTAAACATTAGTTAGTTGGAGTTTGTTAGGAGTTGACAGTGGTTAGTTGCTTTCTATTGTTGGTTAGTTTTTTCTTCTGCTGTATTTTAGTTTTGTTGTAGAGCTCTCGTGGGAAAAGGAAGAGGAAGAGGCAATGGTAGTATCATACAGAAAGGGAAAAGGCAACGACAATGCCAGTAGAAAATGAAGAGGCCGTGACAGTGTAAAAAAAAAAAAGAAGAGTCAGCGAGCACATGAGAGAAGACAACCCTAGTTTTATCTCTTTTTCCTTTCTTATTTTCTCTGGATCTAATATTTATGAGCATATATATATATATATATATATATATATATATATATATATATATATAGTTGGGTCAAACAATCTAATCCAACCATTATAACATAATCTAATTTGTCCACTTATACAACCACTTCTTTTTAATGTGGTTGATATTAGTAGCTACATCTTTGCATGCTTACATGTATTATGATACATTATTTTTTAAATTTATGTGAGTCTTATGATTCATGATACAAAATGATTCACAATATGAGATATAAGTTTTAAAAGTTCTCTCAACATAATTTGTATAGTTGGGAATCCAGTTGTGAGTACAAAGTCTCACAATGGATAAAAATAAGAAAGTAGAATAATATATAAAGTGCAAAGGACTATTATACAATTCTTAAGGTTTTGACTTTGTACTACAAATCTAGTTAAATTGTGGATGGAAGGTTTGTAAGAACCTGCATCACAAATTATTGAATTCGTTTTATTTTGACGAAAAAAGTATGTATTAATTGATATTAGTATGAGTTGGTGGATAAAATCTTACTTGTAGAATTGAGTATAGGAAGGAGATATGTATATCTCATGGTTTCATTTTCGTCTTTTTAAATTACATAAAATACTAATAATTTACTAATAACTAAATATAGCGTTTTAATTCTTTTTTTTGGTTTGGATTAAATTCTTCTGTTCCTTCTTATTTGTTTGGTTATTTTATAGAGTAACAAAAATTTAATAGCTTCAAGTAAATTCTCCATGTTATCATAATCTTGGTATATAGATCTTGTTTCTTTATTGTAGTGATCTTTACATGCTGTAATATCAATTTTAGTGAATAAATCGTGTTTGTAGATGTGATGTTACTTTGATTATTTTTACTTATTTTTAGTATTTATTTTTATTTTCCACATTAAAATGTCGACCTTAATTTCAGAGTGATCACATCATTAAACTCTTCTTGACTGATAATATAAAAAAAACCTTATCTATTTTTATCCGGAATTTGTTTCATGAACTTGTTTGTTTTACTCGAACCAACTTTCATTAGCTCTCAATTCGGACTAGTTAACATTGAAAAGATTTTCGATATTCTAAGTTATTTCTATCTTATCATATGTATTTATTCTACACTTTTTTCTTTATGTGATTTCTTTTTACTGTGTATTAAAATTTATCTAGAACCCAATTTGACATTGTTGTTTTTTTTTAAATATGTTTTATGTATTTATTTACAGAAGAACATTGGATTTGTAAGGGTCTATTTTTAATAATTGAAGGTATTTGCAAACCATGCTCAAGAGTAATTTTACTTTATATGTAATTTGTATAAAAATCTGCTATTACTATAATATAATAATTTAATTTCATTCTCATGGAAGTTCAAAGTAATTTAAAGATCTTCGGTCATTTTGGAAAAATATCATTAGTTTTTTTTTTCTATATGTTACTTCATTATTA